TACATGTAATATGAAGTGTGTATGATCTATGTTAGAAATATACTTTATGTCGATGATGAGGAGCTTATATTTTTTGGAAAACAACCACAATAGATTACATTAACGTTTATAGATGCAATTATCAATTCAAGTATTTATTGAAGACAAATTTTTTTGAATTACTCAAAGAAACTATCATGCATAGAATTAAAAATGCTCTAATGAAAAAAGGCTATATATAAATCATGGCAATTACATCTAAATTTATGTTTGATAGGTTAAACACATCAGTATGTCAAAAAAGTTTGGACTGCTTTGTGAGCACATTCAAGTTTCTACAACTTAATATTTAATCAATGCAATTGAGAAGAAAAAAATTGACTCATATGACAAGGAAATGTCTAGCCTCATGTTTTTGATGATATGCATAAGATCTAATAATGTTTTAGCAATGTTAGGTGAACATGTTTTGTCAAATTTTAAAAAGTTTCATTGAAAAGATATGAAGTGGATTGTGAGATTCCCCATGATAAGTTTAGATTACATTTTTGGATGATTTATTAAACAATATAATATTCTTGTCAAAATATGTTTATAATGATTATGAACAAGAAAAAAAATCGAAAGAACTATATGTGTTTACACTTCGCAATGATGCACTATTATTAGATTTTTTTTTTAGCTAAACTATGCAACCTCATAGCTTAGTCAAGAGTAAAATTCAAACATATAACAGCAGAAGAAAAAGAAAATTCAATTAAATTGATTTTTCATTCAGAATAGATTAAAATTGAATGTTGTTTATCTTCATTGTGATTGCTTTACATTTTGAAACAAATCAAATGTTGTAATAAGTGTGTAAACACACATATTATAATATCACTTCATCAAAGTTGTTGATCATTTAAAAAGATTGAGGTAGCAAGATTGAAGATAAATTTATTGAATTTATTTGTTTGAAAAAGTTAAAAAAAACCCCGTGCAACAATGCGGGCAGAAGGAACAGAAGAAGTCCTAATTAGTATTTTATATATATATATATACATATATATAATTTTGACTATAATTTAATCCTAGTTAATTCTAGTTTATATAAAATTTTATTTGTTGAATTTGTTTTACTTTTTTTAAAAATTTATGTTGGGATTATATATCTTTTACATGAATTAAGAGGAAAAAAAATAATTTTTGATCTAAATATAGTGAATTTAACCTCAATAAATAAACTAGCTAGTTTATCATTTTATAAAAAAGTTTGATTGAAAATTAACCTCTCACTAACTAATTTAGATTTTAGGTGGGTAGAGCCTAAATTGTTCTTGTATAAACATAGAATCAAGTGATGAATCACCTATTATTTGTGATGAGTTTATAGAATGATTGTTTGTTGGCTTGTGTATTAGATCTAACAATTACCAAATTTTACATATTTTGAAAATTTTGAAACAATATGATGATTTTTAATATTTTTTTTTAATTTATCTTCCAAAAAATATAGGTGTTATGAATATAAACTTTGCAAATATGCAGATAAATTTAGTATAAATTCTATCATGATAAATGATATAATAATATGAGAAAAAAAATAACATATTGTATGCATTGATATAATATTTTTGATCATAATACTATAATTTTATTATTTACATTCAAGTATCATTAACATTTTCAATGATCTTAATTAATATACTTAAATACTCAATTTCATGACCTTAAATTTATAATGTACATCATGTGGATGATCCAAAATCCTATGTTGTGTTTTTTTAAATGCAAGATCTAGATACATGATATGTTTTTTACATTTGGTAGATGATAATTTTATATTGTCATCAAATACAAATGTTTATAAATAATTTTACAATTTTATTTAATGGATGGATATACATAAAAGCAAAGACAAGCAGTAATGAATTTTAATATACATATATAAAATTGTTTATGTCTGTAAGAATATTTATTCATATGAAAATAGGATTCAATCAAAATTCCTTACTATTTCAAATTATTGTTATAGCCATATAATTTTGTATGATTCGTATGATACATACATAATTGAATAATCATGGAAAAATTTATTTTCTAAACATTTCAAAAATAATTAGATGATTGTTATCTATTTTTGTTGATGAAGTATAATTCATTTTTTGTGAAATACAATAATACAGTTTGTGATTTGATAATTATGAACACAACATTACAAATTACTCAAACAATTGTGACAAGACAAAATATTTTTAAGCATCATAATATGTAACTTTTGTGTTTAAGTTGTGAAGTATTTTAAATTTACATCATCAGAAATTATTTTAAAAAAATCATAAGGATTCAAATTCTATGATGGATTAAGTAAAATTATTTATTTACCGCGTAAAATCATTTTTTTAATTAATTAATTTTTTTAATACTTATCTTTATATCTAATTTTTTAGAAATATCATATATATCATAAAAGTAAATGTTTTAAAAACTGTTCATTTTCGTTTGACTTATATATATAACTGAGATTTGCATTGTTGTGCTTGGATTGTGAAATTTTCTATCCACATGATTCGTTTAGTTTGCTCATCACCGTTTCATCTGAAGATGTTATAAGATAAGTCACCTTGACATGAAGTATTCCTCTTCTTTCATTTTCAATGGGGATAAGATGTGGAGATTGAGGAACTAGAAACAATATTAGAGAACATCTAGTAGCAAAAACTGAATGAATGTGATTTTAGTTTAGAAATTAATTGTTTTCTTCCTATTGAAACACATTTTTTCGACACACGTTCAGTATAATATCAATATAGAATGATTGTGATATAATTTTTAATTTTGGATCACTGTCAAACCTTGATTATGACTGAGTTAAACATTGTGAACATTATGTTCGATGGAAATTGTTTAAAATCAATAATTCGGGAAAAAAATTGATTTGAGGGAAAATTGACATTTATGGTTACAATGTTGTAAATATTCGATAATTATTTAAAAAAACGTTGAATTGCTCATCTGACCACAATTCTATGACCTCTTCATCTTATGTCAGAGTCAAAATTTCAAGGGTCAAGTTTGAAAGAAAAATTACATTATAATTACGAATTGGCTTCGAAATAATGCAAAATTATTCGAAGCAACAATTTATTATTTTGGCCATTTGACTACCATTTATCTGAGGAAGGTTGAAAAGTCTCTGGAAAACACCTGTACATGATTTCATTTTGGGAAAAAGTGCTACTGTAGAACACGAGAAATCATTCGAAGTTGATGCTGTGGAACAAGTCAACCATGACTGAGACGGTGCCATCTATCTATGCCCGGATGCTACAATGGATATTGCAACGGTAGCCAGCACCCGCGAGTTCAGATCAGATCGTCCTGGTGGCTCATGCAAGAGCATGCTGGAACATGGAAATCAGCCGCACCGTTCTGATCTCGCATGCAACCAGCATCAAGTCGAAGTCGACTAGTGTCAGTGAGAGACAGTCGCATCGAGCAACCTGCCATGACATGACACAAATAAACAAGTGGTCGAATTTCAAGGCAGAGGAACAAGTTCATCGTCTACAGTGGGCTTCTGTTCAGAATGCTCCAAAAATCTCGTCACGTATGTGATGCGGCGACAAGACTCTCCGAACGCAGCGCTGGGTGAAGTAATCGCCAGCTAGAGCATCCTGGAGAATCAGAGCTGGATGTTCAGCAGCCTTGCTTTTTCCTTACACCGAAAGAGTGCAATTTGCGAATCGATGGAACCTAATCATGCAGCCCAACCACGTACAAACTTTTCATCACATTTCCTTTTTTAATATATCTCGAAATCCCTTTCTAGCAGAAAGCGGTCTATATACAAAGGTGTGGCAAATTCACGGTGGAGAAGAATCGGAGAATATGTAGGCCACGATGAAGACAAGCTGAAGAAATTATGCAAGCGATAAAGTAGTGCCATAACATAAAAATCCAAAACACTAGAATGCAGGGAAGCTACTACTCATTACAATTTGTCATCTTCCGAATCGGGAATATAAGGAACAGGTGATCCAGAAGGTGCTGCTAAGAAGAAGAGTATGAAGATGCAGGATCTGAGACCCGTGAAGGAACTTGTGGCCTGGAACAAATGGCAACAGATCTGCTTTCCTCAACTTCATCGCCTTTTCTCGTGGATAGATGCTGGAATAGCGCAGACTCGGGATCAGATGGGACCACTCTCTCCCAAACTCCAACACAATGTCCTGCATAGATAAGAACCAAAGCGGTGAATCGCATTCCATTTTTATACGCGGGGAAATCATATATGCAGGCTCATATGGAGAGTCAACCGCAACAAGTTGCAGCAGGCGTGTAGTCAATCACAAATCATGTAAAGGGTTAAGGGAAACGCTGGGGCTGAAATGGGGCCAAAAGTGAAGAAGTGCTTAGAAGGGGGCAGTAGGGTGCTTAGGAATCGGACTCTCGGGAGCCCCCGGAATCCCTTGAGATTCCCTGCGTATGGTCCAAACGCCCTCCCCTAATCGAGGACAAAGTCTTCCCCACTTGTGCACTACGGACAAGCCCAAGCCCGGACCCGGCGCAGCGAGGGGGCTCGCTCCGTGAGACAGCGTGTAAGAGGAAACAGGAGCTCCGGGGATTTTGAAGCAGACGCCCAAGCCAGATAAGGATTTCCATAGTGGAGGACAGGACAGGACACGATGTGTGTCGCACAAGCCTCCGGACGAGCTGCCCGGGGCAGCGCTCCGCAACCCCTGAGACCTCCATGGAGACGGACGCCGCCGGATTTCCCCAGTGGAGGGAGAGGAATGCCGCCCGCCCTCCCGTCGCACAGGTCTCCAGGCGGCCGACGTAAACGACAGAAGTGCGAAATTGGGGCTTCTGTTCCAGACCCTTCGAGAAGCAAAGAAGGTCTTCTCCCCGGGCCACAGCATTTAGCGACGGATTCCTGCTAGAGGACAATGCATGCCCGCTTCTTGTAGTTAGAGGCGGGGGTTGGGTTGGGGTAGGGCGGTGGGGTTGCCAGGGGGGTACCGTTTTAAAGGACGACCCTAAAGCGGGTGGGGGAAACCACTGTTGTTCGGGAGCTGACTCGGGGAAGACTGACCGCCTGCCCGCCCGCCCTTGTGGAGGGGCAGGGCTTCAAATATCCCAGGCAGAGGACAATGCATGCCTACCACGAGCGATGAGGAAGGTCTGGCTCCCGCGGTGGCGGACTGCTGTTCCCCTTGACGACGCCGGCCGGTAGGGAGGGAGGGGTGCGGGGGGAAGCGGGCGAGCTGGGGAGGAGGAGGAGGAGGGGCGTGGTAGGGTCGGGTAGGGTAGGAGTTCGGTGCGGGAGGGGAGGACAGTTCAAATCTCCCTCGGCGCAGGACATGTCGTACGGGAAGACCTTTGTACAGGACCGGTCGTACAGCGAGCGCAGGGTCCGATGCGTCCACTACAAGCCAGTGTTCAAACTGATCAGGTGTGGTCAATTTAGAGTCGTGTCAAAGGTGGTAAAGTGCGCGACCTGGAGAATTCTTATTAAACGTGGATTAGTGGGGAAAGCATGATTAGAAAGAGGTGAAAGCCCGTGTTATGACTGGAGGTGGGGGTTAGTGCAGGTCACTCGCGAACTCGGGCGACAAGTTGGGGGGAGGGAGAATAATTTCCGTATGCAGAGGACTGTTATGACCAGTGCGTATGAAGCGGCAGACTGCTAATGGATCCGTTAAGTGGCCTTATTAAGAACAGCCGGGCGATATTTAGCCTAATTAATTGACACCGACATCCGGTGTAAGCTCTGACGTCGAGGAAATGATTTTCCCAAATTAATGTCCCGGACGCTCGCTACGATACAAGGGACGAAATATGGGAAAAGAAAATTCCTTCACGCAGGACATTATGTCAGCCCCAGCCCCCATGTCAGGCCGCGGTGCCAGGGGAGGGTATAACCCCGCGCGAAAAGGGAGAAGCTCCTGGCCCAGAAACACTCTCGGCGCTAGGTTCGCGCTTGCGCCTTTTTCAAACGAGAGCCGTGACCGTTCGGAAATGGAGGCAAAGCTCGGAGGTTGGAGATCTGCAAGCGCCAATAAACGTGGAGAGCACGAAAATCCGGTCGCGGCAGGGCGGGCGGTACAGCGGTACGGAGGCTCGAGGGCTAATGACCGCTCGAGAAGGCTCGAAGCCCGCTCCGCCCTGAAGCCCCGATTGGCCACATCGGTCGCTTCGGGTGGTTGGGTTTCGGGACCCGGGCGGGACAGTGACGGCGACCATGACCGCCTCTTGACGTTGGCGAGAAGGGGATTCTTGTCGCCCCGATATCGTCGTGTCCTAGAGCGGCGTCTGCACGACGGCAGCGGGTGAGCGGCGGGGGGCTTGGGCTTGGGGCTGGGGCTGGGGCTGCGCTCGAACGCAACGAGCTTGAGCTCGAGAGTGAAAGAGAGTGAGAGTGGCGGCAAATCGACGCAAGGGGTTGGACGAACACAATGAGACGCAAGTTGGAGCGAGAATCGTGTCGTCGCTTATCCAGGCGGAGAGTTCGGCGGGCTTCTTACTTTAAAGTATGTCTGCAAGTGGATGCTTGTTTGTTCTGGAGCTTCCACCAGTCCACATGAGCTGCCTTTGCCATTCTCCATAATTCGAGCAGTTGACGCAGTCAGCCGCAGCCCAGCTCCGCCAGCCACCCAGCCCAGCCCAGCCCGCTGCTTTGAGAGCGAGCGAGCCAGCCTCCCCCAGCCGCGAGTGGGCCAGATGGTAGCTACAAGCGACACTCGACAACTTGTTTGTTGTTGGCATGGATCTGCGTTTGCGAATTCCCTTCGCCATGGCAGTTATGTTCCAAAACCACTGTAGATTTAGTCGAGCGAGTGAATAATCGCCAATTACTGTACGTGCATGTCAGCAGCCACAACGGATCGTATGCGAGCTGTATGATGCTCATGGAGGCCTTCAACGAGAATTTGGGGTCAGGCCAAAATGCATGCCCGAGAGAGGCAAGGGCTTAAAAAATGGGGGCAGTGGAAGAAGATATGGAGAGAGAGTGTGGAGGTTTGAAATCTTTGAGACTCGTGTAGAATGGGGGGCAATAAAAGGCTCGGTGGTCAGTTACTGCCAGGGCCTTCAATCTAAATTAGTGGTTCCATAAATGTGCAGGCGAGCATCTGCAGCCATGGCGCCAGCTTTCCAGACTGGGCCACAGGAGACCTCCTCTAGCGGCCCCTCCCGGGGCCTAGCTAGCTAAGCGAGAGGGCTAGATCAGAGCGTTCGTTCGGGAAAGCAGGGGGAGGCTAGGGGTTGTACGTAGACGTATTGAAGTCAATGGGTGGGTCGAGTTTTGTTTGAAACGCAACGAGTTTACGAAAGTGGACAATTCAAACGCTCGGGGTTGGGGTTGGGGTTGGGGCGGGGGGAGGGGGGGAAGGGGATGGATACCGGGTGGGACCCACAGGCGAATAAGGAACAATCTGTGACCACACTAAACGCTCCGGGACCGATCGTGCTGCTACTGGGGGCATGGTGTGCACCGGGAGAGGGCGGCGCAGTTATGTCTCATGGGCCTTCCTTCCGTGTTCGAGAGCAGGGCTTGGGGCAGGGCTTGAGGTTGGGGCATGATGCCAAGCGGATGAAGTAACATCACGCCTGACGGGGCCTGATTTGAACACTCATATATCCGCTGACAGGCTACAAGGGCAGAGGTAGGTTTGCGGTCATAGTCTAGATACCCCCGACACACTAAAGAGCGGGGGCATGCCACCATCGCCATGGTTACCACTTGCAGATGTCCATAACCATGGCGCGGTAATAAACCGGGGCAAACGACGACGACAGCGGGAGGGAGGGGCAGGGGCAGGGGAGGGGCAGCGCTTGCTGAAAGCAGAGCCCCTCCCGCGGGAGGACGGGGGCGAGGGAGTCGACCGGGGGCGGCGGCAACCGGGAAGAAACGCCGGGGGGGCTCAGACAAACAACACGTGCACATCGAGAGGGTGACGTAGAGACGCGCAAACTGCAGGCAGCAGCAGGAGACGAGTGAAACGCGAGGGAGGCGGGGGAGTGGGGGAGGGGGGAAAGTAAGTGAGGGAGGGGGATGGGGAAACGAGATTCACGGGCAGCGATGACAAGTCGGACGGCCCGAGATACTGAATGAACGAACTTGCGATGACCGGTGGCATATTTATTGAATTACAAGGATGTGGCAGCTTCTAGCTAGAAGCTCGAAAAATTGGTCTTTACTTGACTGACTGACTCACTGCTTGCTAACCATGATGATGATGATGATGATGAATGTTGCGCCCTCTACGTGAACACTCTCCCTCTTCTCTATGCAAGAACCCCCGTGCCATCAGGACTCTCGAGGCTTCAGGTCGTCAATGTTTGAGTGCCTCTCTTTCCCCACTGCAGATTTAAAGCGATCGGCACTAAAATACAGTGTTTAATAATGTAAACTTTCTTTCTCTTTCTCTCTCTCTCTCTCTCTCTCTCTCTGACGGGGTGGTGCCTTCTTCTCACGGCAAAACCCTTTCACACAAAAAAGGAAATGGGGCCTCAAAGAATTTGTCGTCGGATATCTCTCTTCTCTACACTACTTGGATACCCAAATCTGAAGGTACTCAGAATAAGCTATTAAATTACAGGATTGCCTGTGTCTCCAAGGTCCCCAAGGATAACAACAGATGCTAAAAGGATATCTACTGAATGGACAAAGACAGCTGCTGCTGCTGCTGTGCATCGGAAGCGATCGTATAAAGTAGGAAGATCCGGGAGGAATCCGGAATCGTAGCAATTTGAGAGACTTCTGGGGATGGCTTCCGATGGAATCGATTCGATCGAGAGGGCTCAGGCGTTGTTGCGAGCCCGGACCAATTTGGCCAGAGTCTCCTGGGCGGAGATGGTGTCCGGGTGCTCGGCTCCGAGCATGACCATGCGGATGCTGATGCAGGTCCGGCACAGCTCCTCGCCCGCGTCGCAGAGGCCGCCTCGGAGCAGCAGCTTGGCGCGAGTCTCCAAGAGGTGCGCCTTGAGCAGCGTCAGATCGTGCCACACGTAGTCGTCCACCTGATGGGACCTGCCCTTGGCGCGGCGCCAGCAGAAGGATTTGTCGCCGATCTGCGACACGAACGACTTCTCGATGTCGTCCAGGCCATTGAAGCACAAGTGCAGCAGCTCCAGCGCCGCCTGGCACCGCGTGAAGGACGAGAAGGTTCGGAGCGCCAGCGGCAGCACCACCTTGCGCGTGAAGCTGAGCAGCTCCGGCACGCGCAGCTCCACCGTCACGGGATCGTTCCCGAAGCGCAGCACCAGAAAACACGCCGCCCAGAACTGCTCCAGATGCAGCGCCAGCACCCCGCTCCTCCTCACGCCCTGCACCACGGCCCTGGCCGCCGCCACGCCCCCTCTCCTTCTCAGAAACACCTGCACCACGTCGCTGAAATAAACGCACCCTTGCCTCGATGCGCGTCGCGCGACCCCGTACTGGATCAGCAGATACGCCGCCTCGCCCCCGGCCCTGCGAGATTTCGACGCCATACAGCACCAGAACACGACGCCCGTGCAGCTGCGCCAGCATTTACAAAGGGGCGATTTTTCCCGAAAGGTCGAGGCCGCCTGCGCCAGCAGATCGAACGGGATCGGCACGGGCGCAAACCAGCCCCCGACCAGCGCCATTTTGGCGGCCAGCTTGACGGGCCCGCTGCTGCTCTCGAGCAGCGCCATACACACATTCAGCAATCTGAACAAATGCGGATTGTTGCGCAGCACCTCGTCCTCGCGATTGCGCACGTCCGTGATGCCCTCGGCCTTGCCCATGAGCTCGAGCAATTCCGACGGCATAATGTGCAGCTCGGCCAGCAGCCGGCTCACGATGGCCAGGCCCAGCGTCAGGCGAGCGAGCTTCTCGTCGATGTCACGGAGCGCCTCGAGCTCCAGCGGCGAGAGGTGCCGACCGCCGCGCATGAGATCCACGGCCTCCGTGTTGGACAAGGTCGAGAGCTCGATGCACTTGAGGTGCATCACTCGCGGCAGCCTCGTCGTGATTATGACGTGCGATGCGCCGCCCGGACTCGGCAGCAATTCTGTAATCTCCTTGCCGTCCCACCAGTCGCGCTCGCTCTCCAAATTGTCGACAATTAAAAGGTAGGGCACGTCCCTCGACATTTCGCGCTTGATGCGCTGGTAGGCGTCGGTCTCCTGCTCGTCGAACGACCGCACTCGAGCGCGATCGGGGCCTGCCTGCGTCTCCGACCCCACGTCCACGCCCAGAAACGCCGCCAGATTCAAGTAATTTTGCCGAATGTATCGATTCTCGGCGCTAAGCCACAAAATCGTCCTGTACTTGTCCGTGTTTCGGTAAGCATACTCGAGCGCCAGCTCCGTCTTGCCGATCCCTGCTGCGCCCGAGATGCAGGCGCAGCCCTGATTGCGCGATGAGGTCGGATCCACGTTGTCCTTGGCGTTATGCGCCTCGCGCTTGCGCTGCATGTGCCTCTCGCGGTGCAGCTGCCTCCCGCGTTGCATGTCGCGCCCCCGCTGCGGCTCGCGCCCTCGAAGCGCTGCAGCAGCCTCTTTGTCGGCCTCGATCTCCGGCCTGCCCCCCGAGGGTTGAATTCCAATTTCTTCCTCGAGCTCCTTGCCCTTCAGCTGCTGCTGTTGGGCGGCGCTGGACGAGGCGCCTCGAAATTTCTGGCTGCTGCTGCTGTCGGCCGGATCGCCGGGCTTTCTCGATGGCTCCTGCAGCTCCTGCTGCGGGTAGTCCATGGTGAGCGACAGCATTTCCTCGAGATGCTTCAGCTCCTTCTCGCGGCCCGTGAAGGATGCGTTGCGGGGGAAGGGGAATTCATCGACATCGATTCGCTCCGTCTGCACGCGCTCGCGCTCGGCGATGCTTCGGCGGCCGAGGCGGGTGCCGAGCAGGCTGACGGCCTTGCGAATGCAGGCGCGCCAATTGCCATCATGAGCTTCGAGGCGCCACTCTTCGGATCTCAGCACGCCGTGCACCACATCCTTCCATTCGGCCTCGTCGCCATCGTACGCGGCCCAGAGCTCGCCGCCGTGCTTCTCCCAGATTTTGCCGCGCCTCTGGACGATGTCCTGCACGGCAATGTCGGCCGGGGCCAAATCGAAGAAGACCGGCACCAGGTTCCTGCGGTCCAGAAACACGCGCAGCTCCTCCATCGTCCATCGATTCCGAAACACACTTCGCGAAATGATGACCACGCCGAACGTGGCCGAGTTCATAATTCGCCGACTGATATCATGGCTGCGCGTGTCCGAAAACAGCGATCGATCCGCCGAGAAGCATGCCACCCCCTGCAGCTCCAGCTCCGCGCGCATCCACTTGGCGAATCGCACCAGCGCCGGGCACTGCCCATACAGGCTGATGAACACATCGCAGCTCCTCGGCCTGCCTGCCGACGTCGGCGACGTGGATTGCCGCAGAAATGTCGATCCGGGGCTCGCAGCCGTGCGCAGGAAGCTCGGCCCCGGGCTCTCTCCTGCTGCTGCTGCAGATTGGAATGCGCCCGACGAGGCGCCGTATTGCGGCGGCGAGAAGGGCGATTCGCGCAGCGGGCTGACGAGGAGAGCGGGATTCGGGCGCACGACGACGGCGGGCGGCGCTCGGTCTCCTCGAGGAGTGTGGATGGCAGACGACGAGAACGAGCCCGAGGGCGGCGTGAGGAACGGAGTGGCCGAGGTCGGCGTCGATGGCGAGAAGAATGGCGAGTCGGACGCTGATGCGAACGCCGAGTACGTGGGCGAGCCGGGATTTCGAAACGAGCGCGACGGCGATCCTCCGTTCGAAGGAATCGATGTCGATGCTCCTGCTCCTGCTCCTGCACTTGCACCTGCACCTGCACCTGCACCGCCCCCAATCCCCGCTGCTGCTGCTGCTGATGTCGATGGAGTGGACATGAGGACCGTGGCGCTTGAGGTTTTGTCCGGGGAAGCTCCGAGAGACGAGACGGACGACGAGCCCGACGACGAGAGCGAGGTCGATCCTGCAGACGATGGCGACGAGGAAGAAGATGAGGAGATTGTCGAGGAGGATCCGCCGGACTGTGCACGCGCAGGAGAAGCGCCAGCGAGAGGAGGAGCAGGAGGAGGAGGAGGAGGAGAGATGAGAGGGGCAATGCTGTGAGAGACGGAGGGCGACGAGGGCGACGACGAAGGGTCGGTGAATCGCACTCCAGAGCCAGCGGCGCTGCTGCGGCGCGCGGGCGAGGGGAAGGAGACATTGCTGCCGAGCAGAGGCGGGTGCGGCAGCGGCGAGGGAACTGGAGGTTCCGACCACGGCACCGGAGGACGAGGGCACGCGAGCGACGACGACGAGGACGACGAGAGAGCGGGATTCGTCGAAGCGTCGGGCACCGAAGATGGCGAAGAAGCCGCTCGCGCTGAATTGTCCGTCAAATGCGATGATGCACCAGCAGATGCGGAACCATTATCCATAGAGAAGTGGTGAGGTCCCGACGTCGAGCGCGAGAGCTAACCATCCACGAGCCCAATGGAGCAGCAGAAGAAGACCGAGATGCGCCGGGGATTGCACACATGGAAAAAATCACTCGATGCACTCAAATCGTTCACTGATTCGGAGCCGCAGCAGGAGCAGGAAACCATCTCCGACAATGAGAGCGAGAGACGAGAGACGAGAGATGATGCGGAGAGGAAGAGAGCGCCCAACCTCCGACAGAGAACCGAGCGCTCCGCCGCTGCACTCTCCCTCTCCCCGCTACATCAGTGGCTGTGGGGGGAAATCTGTAGCTGCACGGGCGAGTCCCTCGTCAGTCCGCCTTGGCCATTCATCTTTCCCCGAGCGGTCAACCTTCGCATTCTTCGCCTTCCTTTCCTACCGACTGCGCCCTCGCTCATTGCCAGCCCTCGCCCATTGCACCTCATACATCATAACGAACACTGCACTGCATACACTACACTACACTAAGCGGCCTGCTGCTTGCTGCACATCCGACCTCTGTCTGGCCCGACGACCTCCAGACTCAATCCGCACCTCCGCATCCTACGACGACACAACGAGCTCGCGCACGCAGAGAAAGCGCCTTCTTCTTCTTCTTCCCCGCCCTGGGTCCGCTGCCAACATTTCGAACGCCTGCTCGAGGCCTGCTCGTCCTCCATTTCACATTCTACTTTGTGCTGCGACGTGCTCGACGCTCGAGTCTGCTAAGTCAGCTCCCTCCCACTCGCTCCACCACTTGCCGAGCCGAGTCCCCGGCCCGAGCCGAGCGAGAGTTACATGCATAAAATAGATTAGAGCAGAGAGAGAAAGAGAGAGGGAGAGAGAGAAGAGGAGAGAAGACGAGTGGGAAGAGAGAGACGCACACGAGCAGGAAAGTAAAAAAGAAAGCGGGGGGCAGGAGACAAAATGCCTCAATCAGAACGCCGAGAATGGGTTTGGCCCGAGCTCTGGATTATTTGATTCTCTCTGCAGCAAGGGAGGGAACTCGAGGGGAAGGGGAGAGAGGTTGAAAGGACGAGAGAGAGAGGCCAGAGGAAACAAGGAAAGAGGGGCTAAGGAGGGCAACGAACGTCCGGGACGAAGACGACGAATCGGGGAATTGGGTTCCCGGACTATCGACGTCTTGCGACGGGGATCTGACTGCAGCTTAATATGCCCAATCTGCGGCCGCTTGGCTTTCGGCAGTTGGTGGTTCCGACTCGCTCGCTCACTCGCTTATTTCCATATATTCAGTCCTCGTCTGTCGAGTGTTTGTCTGGCTGGGGGGCTGGGGCTGGGGCTGAGCCGAGGGGCTGCAGAGTGCTGCCGTTTGCGCTTGCGGGCGGGGTTCATGAATGGCCCTGATTATATCGAGTTAATGCTCGAGTCCCGTCTATAATTCCACTGCTGGCCCATATATTGCTGACGTGCCGTCAACATCTACGGTTCATCCGGCCAGATTACCCCACCCCACCCCCCCGCTTACCGCTGTACGCTCCAGTACTTTTCTACCACTGTACCCCCGGCAAACCACGTCGACGGGTCGGCTCCAGAGCTACGCGGTTACCGGAATGCCGGGTGCATGCACGCTGGGGGGAGTTTGCCCCATGGCCCTCCCTTCCTCGCCCACCCGCTTGCCCGCTGGTTACAGTGGCGGCTAGGACTGGACTGTCGTGGCGTGTAGTGTACTGTAAAACTGAACGGAATGAATCTCAGGGGATGGGAATCGGGGGCTGCAGCCGATGAACTTCTCGTTTAACGGCGCCGCCGTACCTGGATTGCGTCACCGTAAAAGGCTAGTGACGTAGAATCATGAGCCGGCTCGCGGCTGCTCCGGGACAGACTTTGCAGACCGCTTACGATGCGACGCAGACGACAACTCGAGCATCGCAGACCCAGATTAGTCGATTCCTCTCTACTGGACGCGAGCCAGGCGAGCTCGATCCCGCAAACACATCCCGTCGACGAGACGAGCACTAATCGAATGGCTGTCAAATGAGCCTCTGCTTCTCGTTTCCCACTCACGGTGCGGTTCGGGGACGAGGGGTGGGTGCAGCAGCAGCAGCAGGGCGAAGGAGAAGGGGACTGTTGTCTGGTAGTCTGCTCGGCGCTGATGACTGGTCTTGCCGCTGCAGTACGAGTGCTGTAGCTCGCGGAGATGGGCAGGGGAAGGGGAGGGGGGAGAGGAGAGGACGGGGGGTTATATATGACAATGCGAGTGTAAGTCTACTACTCCAGTGGTAAAGGAAGAAAGTACACAAACAGACAGTGATTGAACTGTTTGCTGCCCAGTGCACCGTTTATAAATGCGTCTCTCCGCGTAACGGATCTGAAGCCAAAAGCTATGGAGATTGACATTGACGCCTGGATGGCCCCGGGATCATGACGATGATGATGATAGTCAGGCTCGCAGGAGGAGGAGGCGGCAGCAGCAGCAGCAGCAGATGGAAAGTGAAGCGAAGCGAAGCGATGATGTGTCGGCTTCGTTCGGCGGCCTGGTTCGGCTGCGTCGGGGATCGGGGGCTGGGCTGGGGCTGGGCTTGGGGCAAGCGATGGGAACAACAACGGGGCGATATGATTAGAGAGAGAGTGCGATGGGGAGAGGAAACAGTAGAGCGAGAGAGAGGGAATCGAGTCGGTCAACCTGCATGCGCACAGATAGATACAGTACAGTAGATCATGTCAACAGATAGAATCCATGCCGCATTGTGATTGTGGCGATTCATTGCAAATGCAATTTCGCATGTAGCACGCCTACGACGACGACGACGACGGGGGGCTGCATCAATAAAACCTCCAGCAGCAGCAGCAGCCGACCGATTCTCTCTCTCCCCCAATTCCTTACCCCAGCCCCAACCCCAACCCCAACCCCCTGCTCGTGCCCTCCCCCCACTCCCCTCCCCGGCGACTCTGGACTCCGCTCTGCTGGCGGGGCAAGCCGATGTGGATGAATGGATGTGTGGATGGGCCGGCAAGAGAGTGCACGTAGGCATTGATGCCGCCGTCCCTCCCTCGAGGCTCGGAGGCTCGGAGTACCCCCGGTTTTGCTTGCCCCTGCCCCCTTCCCTTTTGGCACCCTTGGGGCTGCGCTTCTCCCTCGTCACTAGCGGTTCTCGAGCCTACACACTACCAGGGGACTGTACTCTACTCTACCCCCGTCTGCTTCTGCAGCCGCTGGTAGATCTGCCCTGCTCGTCTACTCGTCTACGCTGCCACTTTCCATCTTTCTCGCTCGTCTGTCGCTCTCCAGTGGGCAGTGTACCCATTTGCCAAGTGCTGCCGCTGTTCTGGTCTGCTCTGGCAAATGGGCGAGATCCCCCGCATGGGCAACGCGAAGCTTAGAGACGGGCCTAGTGGGGCCTCGTCTCGACTAATCAAGCAGCTCGAGTGGCTGCTTGGCAGCGACGCGACTCTGGAGAGTCGAGTCCACGGAGCCGGGGAGGAAAAACGTCTCGAGCATCGAGCCCGGCTCTGGCGGGTCCCGTCCCGTCCCGTGCCATCGCTGTGGCAGCCATTCGTCGACACTCCAGTTTTGACGCCTGTTTCTATGGTGGCTCAGCGCAGCTCGGTTTCCGCAGCTTGGGCCAGGGCGCGCACGTTCTCTCCAGTCCGGTAAAGGGGCAAGACGCTTCAGGGAAGCACAAGAGCCTCCCCAGCAGCAGCAGCAGCAGCAGAGACCAAAGCAGAACAGAGCAGAGCAGAGCGAGGAGTGGCAGCAGTACGTAGTGCAGTTAGTACGAGCGTTTGTACACTCGCGCGGAGTAGCTGGGGAGATGGGCCGACGAGCTCAGCTCGTCTTGCCAGACCCTCACGTTGTGTTGTGTAGATGGATCCTGAGGTTGTTGAATGGTATCTCACGAAATGTGGATGACGAGCATTTGTAGGGTACTGTAGCGGCGAGAGAGGCTGGTAACATTGTTCGAAGGTCCCCCACCAACCCAACCGCAGTCATCCATCGCTGCTGCACCTCGCATTCTCCTCTCCTCTCCTCTGCTCTGCTCGCCATCGTGCAATTTCGGCCTGTTCTACCCCAAGCCTCCCATTAGTGGCTCTCAACTACTGCCCCTCAGTTTCCAATATTTTCTCTCCTACGAGCGCAAGTTGCTCAGATCAACATGTCAATAAGCTGACCACCTCGCGTTCGCATGGGTCGTTATTGCCACGTTGAGTGCTCTCAACAATGGATGATGGTCAATCGAAGTCGTGCTCCTAGAGCTGAAGAGGACGTCCACCACTTTTTGGAGAAATTCTCCTGTAGACGAATGACCATTTTCACTCTTCCAAGTTTGGTATTTGCATCCACTCGGAGTTTGCGTCACTCGGCGAAGAAACAGACCTTAATGTCAATCCAATTCAGCCTACTCATCGGAGTAAGTTCACATAAATTCATATATATATGAATTCATGTGAACTATATTTATTTATTTATTTATATGTATATGTTTTGCCACTTTTTGTAGCTAGTTACTGACGACTGTTCGTTTGCTTTCATTTGTTTGCGAAGTGGCATGGAAATATTCTAAGTTTTGTAAGCCGGAATCGGAATCCTCTTCTTTTTTCCAGTATTTGGGCAGTATTTTCGACTTCCATTCAAAATACATTCATTGCAGCTCGAGGTCGCAGCGATATATTCGATCCCAAGAGGTTTTGAGTATTTGGAAAGAGTCGGTCATATCACTTCGTCAACATAAAGTGGACGAGTTTGGAAGCACGAGGATTGGAAGGTCATGAACAAGAATCCCTTCTTGCCGCTCCTTCAGCTCTTCCCTTGCGTTACTGCACACATATCTCCCTATCCGTGCATTGCAACTAATCCAGTTTTCTGAGGAGAGGTATCGAGTACATATTCTCAGGCCTCACTGCATGAGCGTTCCTTGCTACGCATAGCAGAATCCAATCTAATCGTCGAAATAGCGAGCAGCTGAGATTGAGGGTGTAGTGCTCAGATTGCCCCGGAATGTTAACAGCTTACACTGAAGGCCAAGCTTGACGCCATTTCTCTGATATGGAGTTCATGTACTCAATTCTCTCGAGGTCTCCCCAGCCAGCAATGTCTGCAATTTGGACGAAGGTGTATGATCCTTCCAAATCTATTGTTACTTGCATGGGTAGTGGACTGTATTTGAGATTCAGAGGTAAGGAATGTTGTTTTTAACCCTAGATCTCACTCAGAGGAGCGGAATTAACACAGGGCCCAGCTTCGAGTTGTGGGCTGAAACCACGTGACGGTGAAGCTTTTACCTCGGTCCTTTTCAGTGGTCCTCACCCTTCTCTCACTGTATGAAAGTGCGAGCTGGTGTTCTGGGACCTAGGCAGGATGTGGGGGTTGGGTTTCATCACGATGGCCAAATCTGGTCGTAGTGCGCGGCCACGTGACTCCATAAACGATTTTTCTGTTGGTTCGATCCTCATGTGGTGCCGAGTGAAAAGTGAATTTCAGGTGGCTGAGAGACGAGTGACTGTGCATTTAATGAAAACATCGGTGACACTTACCGAGCTGTAAACAAACCAGTTCGTGCCCTTGGCCACAGCTTTTCCTTCCTCTTGCTCTCATAGTTCATGCAACGACCGTAACGATGTTCACCAACCAGATGCCAGTCCCTTCACTCCCTTGCCATTTTGAAATGTCTCGTCATTCAAGCTCAGCTTGTTCATCCCACCCACCCGCTACTGTTTCGGGGTTCTCGAACATTCATGGCTACGACACATCTGGTACGAAACTTGGTCCCAAAGACATGACGATGCGACATTAAAATGGCTACTTTCCCCTTACACCAAAGCCAGGCTTTGCAATCGTTGCCCGAGCTCTCCATCAAGTCACCTGCCAAAATATGAAGTTGCCAAAGTTGAAAATAATAATAATTTATAGTTTTTTATTAAATGTACTATATTTAAGGCGCCATGCTGATGACTCCATCGCTCATTCTGATTCTAGACGATAGCTGCCCCTAATTATGTAGATGATGCGGTGTTTATCAGATCACGAAAGATCTTGTAAAGTCCACACTTGATTCAGAGTTAGATGTAGGATTTGTTCGCACATACAATATGAAATATTTTCAATGGAGATATTATCCTAGCCCCATCGTCTCCTTTCGGCTTCATCCATGAACTACTTTTTGAGGTCTTGGCCACTTTATGAGGTCCTCTCATCATTTTTGCTATTTTGATTCGTTCTCTATATGTTAATTTACTCGATTCACCGTAGGCGATTCAGAAGCAATGAACGAGGTTCTAGAAAGAAATGCTGATTGTGCACCTATGGATTGCTTTTATAACTCTTCTCCGTCCGTCATTGAAAACTTTGACCTGGAGTCGACAACTTCGCTAAGTGAGACAATACGAGTCCGATTGTGATTGTGGGATATTTATTCATTCGACCCACGTTTAACCAAACGAAAGTTTTTGTTTTTGCACGACACGCAAAACGTTTAGACCTCTCGAGTTTGAAACAAACGGTGCTACTGCTAGCACGTAACAAATGACACGCTTCACAAGCTAAGCGGAATAAATGATGGTTTGCAGCCAATGAGATCAAACTTTAAGAATCAGCACAAGAGTGTGTTTGGGCATACTCTGGCAACTAGCCAACTCCCCGAGGAATCTAATGAGTGAGTCTATGGAGAATTCAACACACTTGGTCATAGCCAGGCTTTCTATATAGGGCGGATTCCGTATGTTCCGTGTTTTAACAACATAAGGATAATTCTCAAATCAAAATATGGAATATACGGAACTTGATAGAAATATCTCATGTTTTCGGCCGAATTTGACGGCAATGTAATATATTTGAGAGAGAGAGAGAGAGAGGTGTCATTTTTTATCTGTGAGTAAACTTTTACAATTTCAGCACTTAGACATCACTCTCCACATCGTTGCAATGTTCTAAAATGGTCAAACTAATACTCCGAAAAATTGCATGAGTTGAAGAAATCTACTATCAGACTTGTTCAATCAACAGATTTTTGTGAACCGGTAACATCGACTTTATAATGTTCTCGTTTCACAAAAGCCAAAAGTTGTTTGTGTTTTTTCATTATTTAATCTGTGTCCTTTTGTTCCCAAGAAAGTTTGAAACGTTCTTGATATGTTAGAACTAGTTGAATAATTTCTCGTGTTTTCAAAACTAAAAGTTATTGAAATAAACAAGTAAACAAAATACTAGAACTTGCCTGGTTGAACTCATCAGGTGTCACCTCAAAGTTTTGGTTGAGTAACTCCGTTAATTTCTCTAGTAAAGCCCCATAGTTACAAAAAGTCACCGCGAAGTTTTAGCTGAGTGATTCACTTAGTTTCTCTAGCAAAGCCACATAGATAACCAAGAGTATTTTGTTGGAAATACGGAACTTTCTTAAAACGAAATAAGACAATAGTACTCTCAAGTTCCGTATTTGCCGTATATAGAGAGTCCTGGTCATAGCGTAGCACAATGGCACCTGGTGTTACGGTTGAGACTGGAAGGTTAAAACGGGCGGAGGCATTTCGAGAGGATGAGTCGTGAACTGCTCGATACACGTGTCTCTGCGGGGGTCAGAAATTGGGCCCTTGAGGTGCACTTCTGCCACAAGATTGCGTAAAGGATCAACATAATCTGGTTCTTTTTGCACGCACTTTGTACACTTTGGACACTTTGGACTGTGGATATGGACGTGGTCATGAGCCCTGGAAACTTTTCTTGGTGATTTCGAGGGCACAACTTAGCCCAACAAACGCCTCCCTCGACCCTGTGATCCCACTCTTCGACTCCAAACAGAAACACTCCATGACTGGGATCACAAATGATATGAAAACAAACAAAGTAGCTGAGCTCATTCAGACCATATCCTGAAGATAAAGCTTATTTTTCAAGGTACAACCTTGGCTCGTAAAGTATAAGGTCCGATGGCAGAGGACAAAAGCTTTTACTGTCGCCGGCAACAAAATACACCAAAGATCCATGTGCATGTTTATATATCTTATCCAGATTATCATAACGGAATTGGAACAAAAAGATGAAGCTCCACTTTAAGAACAGGTGATCGCACTCGTACTACAGTGAACATTTCCACAAGAGCTCACGTTGTTTAAGAGAATTTGGTCCTTCTGCAAGTGGACAAGATACCTTGACCTTATACCCAAGCCCAGAAGGGTGGAGCACTCGCGCATGTTCTTTCATATGATTCACCCATAACCCTGTATAGGAGGTGATGAATTCTCCAGCTCGACCCGGTCCCCATCAGAGTGTAGAAAGTCCTTGTTAATTGAAGATTAGTCATAAAAATGAGCTACGAATCAATGGAAGTAGCAAGGTCCTGTTGAGATACGCCACATCTGCAAAAGTCGAAGAACAGAATTATTGGAAGAGTGCCTGAGCGGCTGAAAAATCTGCACAGGGTCAAAGGTACAGCAGTGAAGTGTTGAGAGGCCGCCTCTCGGGGCTGAAAGTATAGAAGATCTCCATAAAATCACTTTGTCAGAGCAAAGTGCGAACAGCTCAATTGTGCTTGAGTTTTGAGTAAACAATATCTCTACATTGCATGATGGGCGCATGACCAAATCGGATTTATGATCCTGTCCTCTTTGAGATCAGCGAAATTGCAAATTAATTGATCTTGAGTTCAATACTAGTTAAACCTC